AAATAGTGATCATTATTATTGACTTTAGATCGCGACATTTTGTCGGAGTTTTTATTCCCTAAAATTTATTCCAGGTTTTTTTCTGAGGTCTCATCCCTAAGGACTAAGTGGTTTTTCAAACTTTTTTTGCCTTTTTATCATTTTACTCTCTTACTGTTATCAATCAATTCGAATAATTATTAACGATAAAAATCAATAAATTAATAAAAATGAATTTTCAACCGTTTTACACACCCTCTCTCTCTCTCGTTCTCTCTCTCTTATTATTATTATTTTTTTAGTCATTTGAAAATTTAATTTTTATCATTCTTCATTATGTAACTCTGAAGACATACTTTTTTTCACCCCCCCCCACTTCCAAATTAAGTAAAATTCATAAAAGAGAAAAATTTGATTCCCTTTTTCTTTTTTTTCAGGGATTTATTTATTTCAATTTTTAGTCGAACTTTAAATATTTTAATGCGAAAAACAAAAAAAGGAGGAAGAAATAAGAAAAAAAAAAAGATTTTTTAAGTCACCCTAAAAATTATTTAAGATAAAATTAGAATTTTTTTTTTTTTGTTTTTTTCAAAAGGTAGGAAGAGACAGGGTGACAGTTTTATTTTTGTTGTCAAGCAAAAAAAAGAAAGAATTTATTTTAAATGGTACTAAGTTAGAATTAAAAACAAAAAAAAAGGGAGGCTCGTTGAGAGAATGTCGTAAAGAAATTCTTTTTTATTTTTTGAAATTATTATTATCATCATTATTATTATTATTAATATTGTATTATTACGGTGACGTAATTAAAAAAAAAGTTTTTTTTTCTACCCTTTAAAAAAAAATGCATAGCGTTTGTGTTTAACACATAAATTTATGTTTTTTTTGTTGAAATTAATTTTCTATTAAAACGCCATATTGAAAATTGATTTTATTTAATTTTTCAATTTTGGTATGAATGTTTAATTTTTTTTGTAGTTGGTAATCCTTGCGGATTTATAAAATTAAATGCCTATTTCGTGAATTACTACTTTTTTTTTTTTTTTTGGCTTAAGGCTGGCCACTAAATTTCAGGTATTTCTTAGACCTGCCCAGACAAGGATAACAAATCGATTTAACAAAAAAAAAAAAATTTTTTTAAGTAATGTTAATGAATTAACCAATCGGATTAAAGTTTTTT